CCCCTAGGCTCCCTTTCCCCATGCTCCCCTCCCAGGATCCCCCCCCACTGCATTCTTTGTCCACACCTGCCCTTGCTATTACAGCAGTTGGGGGTGTCCATCATGGACTGACGGGTCTGACATAGTTTCAGCATTGTCCATGCTGGCAGGTAACACTTGACAAGGGGCCTTCCCGCTATGCAGCTGGTGGGGGGGGGGGAGTGCTGTGGAGAACTCTCCCTCCAGCAGTGAATCAAACAGCAGCAGATACTGAGAGATCTCAGGCAGTCAGAGGCTGGCAGCTCCCCATCCTCGCTGTGCCACTAGGAAGGCAGTGCCAATCTTGCACGCAGCAGAGAGCTCTGGTTGAGTCGGGATCCAGGCACGGGGGAAGGATGCCCAGAAAAGGATGAAGATTTGGAAGATTTTGGAACAGGGGCCCAGGCAGCAAGGGCAGGGGAATGGTCAATAAATGTGGAGCTCGGAAAGCAAAGCAGGTCAGACAGCATCCGAGGAGCAGGGAAGTCAACATTTTGGGCCGAAACCCTTTGTCAGGACTTGGGAGGGGAGCCCAGAAATAAATAGAGGGAGGAGTGTGGGGCTGGGTAGGTGGAATGGAGATAGGTGGATGCAGGTAAGGGGTTATTGTGGTTGGTCAGTGGGAAGGGTGGGGCAGACAGGTGAGTCAGAAGATGGACAGGTTGGGGGTGGAGAGATTTTGAAGCTGGTGAAGTCAATATTGAGGCAAAATATCAGGTGTTGTTCCTCCAGTTTATGTTTGGTATCAATCTGACAGTGGAGGAGGTCAGAGTGGGAGGGGGAGTTAAACTGGATGGCAACCAGAAGGTCAGGTGGGTTGCTATGTGCAGTGTGCAGGCACTCTGCAAAAGCGACACAAAGTCTGCGTTTGGTCACCCCGATACAGAAGAGCAACGGATACAGTAGATGAGGTTGGATGAAGTGCAGATGAATCCCTGTTGGATTTGGAAGGATTGTTTGGGGTCTTGGATGGAGGTGAGAGGGGAGGTGTAGAGTCAGGTGTAGCACCTCCTGCGGTTACAGGGAAAGGTACTGAGTGTGGAAAGGGGTCGGTGGGGAGTGCGGAGCTGATGAGGGAATGGTTCTCAGTATGGCATCTCCCAGTGCCACGTCTCTCAGTCTGGCACTGTAGTGGCATCTCTCGCTTTCTATTTTCTGCAAACATTGCTCATTGAAAGGCTTTGCTTGGGTGGAATGCCATGGTGATTAAACACCCTCTCTTACACCAAACATACTGTGGAGAAAGGCATAAACTGTTAGCTCTGAACTCCATGGGTGAAATTACCACAAACTGAAGTCATATTCCCTGAAGTTTAAAAGGTATTGATTAACTTGAAATAAGTTTTCAAGCACTTAAGGGGAACAGATCGGTGAGGCAGAGAGAAACTATATCCACTAGTTGGGGAATGTTGGACCAAGGGGTATAGTCTAAATATTTAACATAGTTTTCAGAAGAGACCTTCACTCAAAGTATGATAAAAATTTGGAACGCTATGTAGTCTTCTTCATCAGAGAAACCTACTGCTCCATCCCCCAGCCACACTTCGGAAAATCCAACTACCGTGCTGTGTTCCTCCTCCCAGCTTACAGGCAGAAGCTGAAATAGGAGGACCCTTCACAAAAGCAAGTACAGTGCTGACCCCAGGCTGTGGGAGACCGTCTCTGGGACTGTTTGGAATCGGTGGGCTGCACCATGTTCCAGTGGTCAGTGGAAAACCCAGACGAGTATGCCACCACAGTCATGGACTTCATTAGTGTATGTGTGGGGGGACTGTGTACCAAAGAAATCAATCTGAGTGTTCCCCAACCGTAAACCTTGGATGAACCAAGAAGCCCACTCCCTACTGAAGACCAGACGTGCAGCATTCACGTCGGATGACCGAGACCAATACAGAAAATCCAGATATGACCTCCTTAAAACCATCAGGGAGGCCAAGAGGCAGTACCGGAACTGGTTAGAGGCCCAAACCTACCAAACAGACTCCCACCAACTATGGCAAGGTCTACACAACATGACAGGATACAAGGTGCAGCAGAACAAGATCACGGACAAAGATACATCCCTCCCTGACACAGTCAATGCTTTCTTTGCTCGCTTTGAGCAGAATGCCAGGGGCGCGGTGTCACCTGCCCTGACAGCCCTGGACACACCTGTTCCCTCTGTCACCGCTTCAGATGCCAGATTGGTCTTCCTGGGAGTCAACCCAAGGAAAGTGATGGGCCCAGACGGTGTCCCCAGTCAAGCACTCAGATCCTGTGCAGGCCAGCTGGCGAGGTATTCACCAACATCTTCACCCTCTCCCTCCTAGAAGCAGAAGTCCTTACCTGCTTCAAGAAGACCACCATCATTAAAGTACCTTAGGAAAAACATGCAATGGGCTTTAATGACTACCGCCTAGTGGCTCTGACCTCAGTAATCAGGAAGTGCTTTGACAGGCTGGTCATGGCCCACCATCAGCTCCAGTCTCCCAACCTGCCTCAATCCAATACATTGTGCCTACCGATGTAACAGGTCCACAGAGGATGCCATATCCCTAGCCCTGCACTCATCCCTGGAACATCTGGACAACAAAGACACCTACGTCAGACTCCTTCTCATTGACTACAGCTCCACTTTCAACACTGTTATCCCCTCCAGACTGATCTCAAAACTCTGTGACCTTGGTCCCGGCTCTGCCTTTTGCAACTGGATCCTCAGCTTTCTGATTCACAGGCCCCAATCACTGAGGATAGGTAACTGCACCTCCTCCATAATCACTTTCAACACTGGAGCCCCCCCATGGATGTATCCTCAGCCCCCTCCTGTACTCACTGTATACCTACAACTGTGTTGCCAAATTTTGAACAAACGCCATGTACAAGTTCGCTGTCAACACCAGCACAGTGGGATGGATATCTAACAACGATGAGCCAAACTACTGAAGGGAGATAGAGGGCTTGGTCCCTCACCAATTTCTACACTTGCACCACTGAAAGCGTACTGTCCAGGTGCATAAAGGCCAGGTACGGCAACTGCTCTGCCCAGGACCGTAAGAAACTACAGAAGCCCAGACCATCACAGGAGCCAACCTTCCATCCATGGTAAAAACTGAAAGAAGTGCGGATGCTGTAAATCAGGAAGGAAAACAGAAGTTGCTGGAAAAGCTTAGCAGGTCTGACAGCATGGGAAGGGTCACCGGACCCGAAACGTTACCTCTGATTTTTTTCTTCACAGATGTTGCCAGACCTGCTGAGCTTTTCCAGCAACTTCTGTTTTTCTTCCATCTATGGTCTCCATTTACATGGCTCGCTGCCATGGAAAGGCTGCTAATATCATCAAAGATCTATCGCACCCTGATAACGTCCTCCTATAACCTCTTGAATCAGGCGGAAGATACAGAAGCCTGAATACACGCACCAGCAGGTTCAGGAACAGCTTCTTTCTGGCCATTATTAGACTGATGAATGGACTCTCTAGCCTCAAATAATGCTGATCTTGCGAACACACTTCTCACCTAGTGCACGCCCTGTGCAGTGTAACCTGTATGCCTCTGTCTAAGTCTTTTTGATCTGTACATCCTTTGCTTACTATGATCTGCCTGTACCACTCGTAAACAAAGTTTTTCACTGTATTTCGGTACACGTGACAATAAATAAATCAATTGATCAATCAATCCTGTTCCTATGCTGGGGAAAACAATCTCAGCATCCAATCATTGACAGATATACCATCTTTTGCTTTAGTGTTTGCCTTCTTCCTTAAAATTGTGGGAAAACACTTACACCCATTCCCAATCCACTGTTGTAATTTCAGTGCAAATGTGCTGGAAATTTAATCTGATTTGCTGTGTAATTCTAAAAAATTTAGTATCACAGAGGGGGATCTGCGCTGAGTGCTGTTTTATAAAAAAAATCTAGCATTTGAAAGGAATTGTTTTTCCAAATCCTTTGTGTGGAAGAAGTGTCAGAAAACATCCCAAAATGCAATAGGAAAGTATAACCAGCTTGAGTTTTTTTGCCATTTCATAATGCAGTTGGAATCACTTGTTTATATTACAAAATTATTAATGTACTTCCAGTCATCTTAGTTCTTTACATAATGACCTTTGGCACATTTAATTTTCTGTCTAATTTTGTAAAATCAAAAGTAAACAAAATGTAAGGATGAAATAACAGCAATATTTTCATTAGATCGACTTGGATAATTTCAGAACAGGTGCTGAAGTGGTTATTCAGCTTGAATACTTTGAAATAAAAGTTTCTCCAATTAAAATAATTATTTGAATGCTGGTGCAGCTGTTAATGATGCAAACTTCATTAAAAATATAATGTTGAAAACCAACAGGGACTGGAGAAAAATTGAATTTTCAAATCAAAATTGCTACCAGGAATATACTGTATTTTTCTAATCAATGACGATTTATTCATTCTTTGTAACTGCTTAAGTGTTTTAACTTTACTTCCCCCTCTCCTTTTGTAAGACCCCACTTAAATATTTCAACCCAGACTTGCAATATTAGAACATCCCACCCCACCCTTGGAGTCAAGAAACTTACGCAAAATTCTTTATCAATGTCCCTCTGTGACCAGTCTTAGAGGTAAGCTTTATTGCTCTTGATGTTCCCTCTTTTCCATTAAGGCAATAGCTTAAACCAACAGACATCGCCACTGAAACTGTTTAAAAAATGACCATGCCTTTTTTTTTATGCAACATGCAGTCATAGGTCTTAGCGTTATAGGTAGTTCAGCAATTGTTGCAGGAAAATGTCTTCACGTAGCTGCACTTTCATGGCTCATTAGTGAATAAAGTCAGAAGTCACACAACACCACTTGGACCTGAGGAAGGAGCAGCGCTCCGAAAGCTTGTGATTTCAAATAAACCTGTTGGTGTCATGTGACTTCTGACGTTGTCCACCCCAGACCTACACTGGCACCTCCACGTCATTAGGGAATGCAAAAAGCAGCAGAATTTTTGCATTGCGTGGAAATAAACTGGCATTCACCTGGAAAATTGGGATGAGCAGACAATGCTCTGTGGAAGGCATCAAATCCAGCTTGTCCCACAGTCGTGGGGAGTAGACAGTCTTCAAATGATGGCACCATATTGCGAGGACTAGCTTGGCATATATTTCTAGAGGCTTCACTATACTGAGGAGGGTAGAAAGTCTGTAGTTGGCCATAATAACCTATAAAGAGAAAACAAAGTAATCAGATAAACCTCCCTAATTGTTGAATGTTATTTTTGTTGTTCTTGTCAAATATGACAAAAAAAGTAGTGGACTGAAGGGTCTGTTTCCGTACAACTGTTCAACTCTATGACAGTATGTGTAAACTGTAAAGTCAGCAGGTTAGCCAAGATAGTGGAGCTTGGCAAGCAATGTTGGACATATCAAAACTGGCATTTTGCCACACTTTGTATGAGTGATGGGAAAATAAATTAAAACTTAAAGTAATCTAAATTGACTGGAGTGTATTCTTAAGTATTCATAAATAATTTGGAACAAAGCAGTTTTCTAGCCCTGTTCAGTGCTCAACTAAAACAGGAAAAATCACTGCAGTGTAATTGAAGTCAATTTATTTTATTACATTATTATACACAATTACAAAATGACATATTGAAAATACTGACTCTCTATGTAACTATCTGAATGGAAAAAAGTGCTGATCAGCTTTAGAGACAACACATCTTTGCACATGACTAAAGGCAGCTGTTCTCAATGTTCAACAGAAAATTGCAATGAATTAAGTGCTACACTTGCTGGAAGTGAATTGCCTTGCAAAAGGTTACAGCTGAGTCCTATTACTGGAGAAAACTGCCTTTATCGAAGACAAGCCAGCTGGCATGGCCAATCGGGACACATTGAGAACACATCTTCACCCTGTTTTGCACTCATTCTACATGTTTAGGCCCTTCTACATCATCCTATTTACAATTCAGAGAATTGTACAAAACCAGCTACTTCAAGTTACCTTGTCCATGCTGACCAAGTTTTCCAAACTAAACTGGTCTCATTTGCCTGCATTTAGCCTCAACCCTCTAAACCTTTCCTATCCGTGTACCTATCCAAATGTGTTTTAAATGTTGTAACTGTACCTACATCTAAACCACTTCCTCTGGCAGTTCATTCCAGTGTGAAAAATTTGCCCCTCAGGTCCTTTTTAAATCCTTCTCCTCTCACCTTAAAAGTATGTCCCTTAGTTTTGAACTCTCCCACACTAGGGAAAAGACCTTTGCTTTCACCTTATCTATGCCCGTCATGACTCTATACACTTCTATAATGTCATCCCTCAACCTCTTATGCTCCAGTGAAAAATGGCCCAGCCTATCCAGCTTCTCCTTCTTACTCAAACCCTCCAGTCCTGGCAAAATCCTGGTAAATCTTTTCTGAACAATTTAACAATATCCTTCCTATAACAGGGCAATCAGAACTGGACACAGGACTCCAAAAGTAGCCTCACCAACATCCTTTACAACATCAACATGACATCCCAAAGCTCCTGTACTCAATGGTCGGGGCAATGAAGGCAAGTCTGCTAAACATCTTTGCATTGTCCGCTCCAACTGACCATATGTAGGAACAAGAAGCCTGGTAATGTAGAAAAATGGCACTTTGTCACAAACCATGCTCACTAATTGGTGAAGGGATTAACAAAAAATGCATTCATTATTTCAACAAGAGCTATGTTAAACAAGTGAAAGAAAAAAAACAAAATGCGCAATCTCCCAACTTTTCTAGTATAAGTAAGCCTGTCCTACTATTTCTATGTGATCATAACCGATCAAACACTTCAGTGCATTTTACCTGCCCCAACTCCATGACCCTTCACATCATTAGCAATCAGAAATCTATCAATCGCCACCATAAACATACTCAAAGACTGACTCTCACAACTCTCTGTTGTAGAGAATTCCATAGGGTCAACCTTCTGAATCAATAACATTCTTGTCATCTTGGATCTAAATGGCATCTGTCTTGCTTTTAAACTGTGACCCTGGTTCTAGACTCCCTAGCCAAAGGAAACATCTTACCTGCATCTACCCTGTCTATACCTTTATGCATTTTGCAGATTTCAATGAGACCACCTCTCATTCTTTGAAACTCTTGAGAATACAGTCCTGGTTTGCCCAATTTCTCTTCATAGGACGGTTTCGTCATCCCAGTAGGAAATCTGGTGATACTTTGTTGCAATCCATCTATAGCAATAATATCTTTCCTAAGATAAGGAGACCAAAACTGCACACAGTACTTCAGGTGCAATCTAACCAAATTCCTACACAATTGAAGGAAAACATCACAACTCCTGTATTTAAATCCTTTTGCAATAAAAGCTAACACTCCATTTGCTGCACCTGTACGTTAGCCTTCAGTGACTTATCAACAATGACATCTAGGTCCCTTTGTACATCCTCGATTTCTAGGCTCTTACCATTTCAGAAATACTCTGCACATCTGTTTCCACTTCCAAAGTAGATAACCTCATACATTTCCTCATTATAGTCCATCTGCCATATTCTAGCCCAATCACTAACCCTGTCCAAATCCTCCTGAATTTGCTTGACATCTTCCTCACAACAAACATTGTATTATTCGCAAATTTGGAAATATTGTATTAATATTAATCACATTAATATGTGGTCCACATGTCTAAATCTTTGGTATACACTGTGAACAGCTAGCGCCCACACACTAATCCTTCCAGTACCCTATTAGTCACAGTTCACAATGGAGTATTCTTTTCTGTTGTTTAAAATATAAGTTTCTACGAAAAAATGTTCAATCAATAGGGCTTTTTGTAACTTGTTGCAGTAAAAGTTGCAAGATGTGAAATTTTGTTTCATTCTTATGGCTAGGAAATTCAAAATCTTCTTTTAAAGCTACCAAGCTTGCTTTGGCAGCACATAAACTAAAATTGGAACGATACAGAGAAGATTAACATGGCCCCTGTGCACGGATGACACGCAAATTCGTGAAGCGTTCCATATTTTTTGAGGCGGCACGGTGGCTCAGTGGTTAGCACTGCTGCCTCACAGCACCAGGGACGCGGGTTTGATTACACCGTCAGGCGACTGTGTGCAGTTTGCACATTCTCCTTGTGTCTGTGTGGGTTTCCTCCGGGTGCTCTGGTTTCCTCCCACAGTCCAAAGATTGCAGGTTAGGTGAATTGGCCATGCTAAATTGCCCATAGTGTTCAGGGATGTGTAGATTAGGTGTGTTATAGGTGGAATGTTCTGAAGGTCGGTGTGGACTTGTTGGGCCGAAGGGCCTGTTTCCACACTGTAGGGATTCTATGATGAGATCTGCTCTGTGAGTTTAGTGATCAGGATTACAAGGCGTTCTCTGATTCTTGACAGTTTTTATGTTCATCAAAAAGACTAATCTCGGTCATCTGTTTATGAGTGCGTAGATCAATCAACATAAAAGCTACATGTCTGCAAGATGACATTTTTCAAAGAGAAATGTTTCTAAAACTGCCCAAAAAAGCAAGCGATGTAGGGTCAAAACAATGGAAATGAAACCTCCAAAGAATCATGGAATGGTTATTGCACAGAAGGAGGCAATTCAGTCTGTTATGACTGTGCCAGTTCTCTATAACTCAGCTCAGGAAGTCCTACTCCACAACCTTTTCCCTGTAGCCCTGAACAGTTTCTCCTGTTCAGATAATTACCCAATTCCTGTTTGAGGGCCACAATGAGATCTGTCACCACACTCTCGGGCTGTGCTTTCAGATTCAAAACACTTGAATGCTTTTCAAGTAAAAAACTTGAAAAAGTTTCAAGGTCAAAAACAAAACATCTTGTTGCCTCTCATCCTTTTGTGAAATGCCTTATAACACTTTCTTCTGGTTCTGGATCTGCTGCTCTCTTCCAATGCTCCTGCTCCCCTCCTCTGGACCCTGTGCCCTGTACTCTGAAACTGACCTGTCTCTGATCACAATCCCCCTTGCCTGTACAGCCAGACCTGACCTATCACCCCCAGGACCTGACCCCGACAATCCCCCATCCGTCCCCCGGGTACCATACATCTCACCTGCCCTGATCTACCCTAAACACTGCATCACCTACCTGGTTCCCTTGACACCTTACCCCCCACCCAAGTTGTAGACAACCCATGACATCCTGCATCCATGACATCCTCACACACTGTACCAAACGGCACGGTGGCTCAGTGGTTAGCACGGCTGCCTCACAGCGCCAGGGACCTGGGTTCGATTCCACCCTCAGGCGACTGTCTGTGTGGAGTTTGCACATTCTCCCCGTGTCTGTATGGGTTTCCTCCGGGTGCTCCGGTTTCCTCCCACAGTCCAAAGATGTGCAGGTTAGGTGGATTGGCCAAGCTAAATTGCCCGTAGTGTTCAGGGATGTGTAGCTTAGGTGAGTTATGAGGGGATAGGTCTGGGTGGAATGCTCCAAGAGTTGATGTGGACTTGTTGGGCCGAATGGCCTGTTTGCACACTGTAGGGATTCTATGTGATTCAAACCCACATGACACCCTATCCTAGCCACATGGGAACTCACTCACTGCCCTCTCACCCACATGGCACCATACTCCCCACATGGCATCTGCTAACTCCCAGCCAACTGGCACCCTACCTTCCTGGCACCCTAAACCTCACATTAACATTGGATACTCAGCATTGGACAGCTGCTGTCAAAGTGGCTCTCAGGACCTTTACATTTCAGAATATTGGACGGCTGTGAAAAAGGGCCATGGTCTGCCTTGCCCTGATAGCTCTTCACGAGGGGAGAACTCTCAGAATGGAACCACAGCTTGGCATTTCTGAAGGGCCCTTCATTGGAATCCGCTGTCAGAAATGCAGTTTCTCCTTCCAAAAACATGAAGGTGCAAAGTGACGATCTGGACTTCTTAGAAAATATGTTGGAGCCAAGTATTAAAATAAGAAAAATCTTAAAATTGAGCTATAGAGTCAAACAGCACGGTCCAATACCTTCGGTTCAAGCAGTCCAAGCTGAAAGTAATCCCAAACTAAACTAGTCCCATCTGCCTGCTCCTTGCCCAAAACCCTGCAAACTTTTCCTATCCACGTACTTATCCAAAAGTCTTTTAAACGTTGTAATTGTATCCACATCCACCACTTCCTCAGGAAGTTCATTCCACACATTAACCACCCTCTGTGTAAAAAATTTGCTCCCATGTCTTTTTTTGAACTTCTCGCCTCTCACCTT